GCGCACTTAACCGCTACACCACGCGCCAGCCCTCCTCTGCTCCTGAAACGTGCCCTTTCTACTATCCTTTGGAACAGTACTGGCTGTTGGATGTTTGACCCTGGAACAGGCTCAGGTGTATTTCCTGAACAGTCAGGAGAAGCTTAGTGTAGTAGAAAAAGCAAGGGCTCTGTCTTAGCCTCTCTGAGCCTAGATTTCCTCATCTGTAAAACGGGGCTAATAAATTCCCATCCTGGGGATTTTGAGAATTAGGTGAGCCATGTATGTAAGGCGCTTGGCACCCAGTAGGTACTCAATATAGATTAGCTTCTTTTCTTGATTGTGTAAGAGTCAGAGAAGTTGCTCCTTTTTCACTATTTTTTTTCCCACATTATCAGCTTCACTGTAATTGGTTTGGTTTATGAAAAAGCTGTTTGCTGGGGCTGGTTTGCTGGGGGTGGTTAAGTTCGTGCCCTCTGCTTTGGTGGCCCGGGGATCACAGGTTCAGATCCCGGGCACGGATCTACGCGCAGCTTATTAAGCCATGCTTGTAGCAGGCGTCCCACCTATAAAATAGGGGAAGATGGGCACGGATGTTAGCCCAGGGCCAATCTTCCTCAGCAAAAAGAGGAGGATTCGCAACAGATGTTAGCTCAGGGCTAATCTTCCTCACCAAAAAAAAGAAAAGAAAGAAAGAAAAAGCTGTTTGTGGGGGGTTTGTTGAGGTGATGTACTGGTGTCCTGGTTAAGCACATGGACTTTAAGTCAGTGTGGGCTCAAATACTGGCCCTTCCACAGTCTCCAGTTAGAAAAGTGTTTGACCTCAAGCAAGTTACTTTGAGTCCCAGTTTCCTCTTATAAATGGGAGTAATAATAGTATTTGCCACATGGGGTTGTGTGAATTTAATGAAACTGAAAGTCAAGTACTTAGCACATTCTGGCATCTACTATATACTCAGTAAATGGTAGCTTTTAAATTTGTAGCTCTCAGCAGTGACTCAGATCTGAGATCACTTGTATTCCCAAAAAGGGATTTTAGGTTCAGAAATCTGATGAAACCAATTACCCCATTCTGTATAGCCAGTCTCAGGATATGCCTGCTGCTGTCAGATGGAGGGCTTCCCCAGTCCCAGTGTATCTATGGAAACCCCCCTGAAAAGCACCCTGGCTGGGGAAGTTGTATCACTGCTGAGTCAAGACCACAGGCTCCCAGCTTTCTGGTGCAGACGCATGATCTGACCCACAGCCTGTCAGCCGAGGTTGGAGAACTCAAGGTCTGAAGCCATGGGGTAATCTGTGCAGGACATTGATCCCAAGAGTCCTAACCCAGCCCACTGCCCTAATCCAGGGCTTCCCTACTGGTGTGCTGGGATACTGATCCCCTCATCCCTGGGGGCAGCTGAGGTCCCAGATTGGTCCCCTCTGGCTGGGATCAGCTTCCACCGTTTACCCCGTGTACTGTACAAATAATATTATTTTCTAGCTGTGCCCTGATGTGAAAAAGGTCGTGAAGCTGCTGTGTTATGCCATTTCCTTGGGATCCTTCCTTACCGCCCACCCCCGTCTGAGCAGCAGCCCCCATTCTGTTGAGTATTTAGAAGTTTAGAGATAGGCAGTTATTGGAGTTCCTTTTTTTTTTATGTGAGGAAGATCAGCCCTGAGCTAACATCCATGCTAATCCTCTTTGCTGAGGAAGACCGGCTCTGAGCTAACATCTATTGCCAATCCTCCTCCTTTTTTTTCTCTTCCACAAAGCCCCAGTAGATAGTTGTACGTCATAGTTGCACATCCTTCTAGTTGCTGTATGTGGGACGCGGCCTCAGCATGGCTGGACAAGCAGTGCGTTGGTGCACGCGCAGGATCCGAACCCGGGCCGCCAGTAGCGGAGCGTGCGCACTTAACCGCTAAGCCACGGAGCCGGCCCATGGAGCTCCTTTTTATTACTACCAGAATGAGAGCCGATCTCTGGTCTGATAAAGCCCTCGTCTGTGTTTTGGTCCCAGCTAGATTTCTACCCACCCTCCGTTGCCCAGAAGCTAGTATTCTGGCCAGTACTGGCCTTTCCTTAGAGAGGGGAGGCAGAGGGCTTTAATGGCTTTGAAAGGATAGCTGTCTGCCTTTGCCGCGTTTGCACCCTAATTTTTCTCTTTGCTGGCTTGTTACAGACTTAGAGTCTAAAGGTTCTGACACCAGAAAAAGCCCTGGATATCCCTCAGGAGGAGGCTCTCAGGGCCTGAGGGTGGGTTGTGTGACAGGCTGTCCCTACCGTGGCTCCTCCTTTCACATTTCCCTGGTGATGACTGATGACTTGGGGTTTTGCTGTAAGTGTAACACTGATGTGGGAGCTAAGCTGGCCTGGGTGCTAGTTGTCTAAGAGGCTTTGAGGCGCCTCCTTTGACACAGAAAGGGGCTGGGAAAAATTTGGACTAAATATCAAGTTCCAAATCGCCATGGTGGAAATTTTTTTCCCAGCCCTGGGGATTGTGGTGAATTAGTTCAGGCTGGAATAGGACTTGGGGG